ATCTGCCTAATAACACAGTTAACTGGTAACACTCTATGAGACTAGAGATGCTCTCAGCAGATTATATTTGATGACCTTAAATGATAACTTGCTGAGGACATCATTCTAGCAATTCTGACTCAAGAAGGAAAATTCAGAGTGGAGGCTGACTCAAGCAAGAGAGCAATCAACATGATACTCTCATAAGAGCAGGATGGAAAATGGTGACCAGTAGTCTTTCTTTCTAAGACACTTACTATCATAGAATGCAATTATAAAATCTATGACAAAGAACTACTAGTGATCATGCTTACTCTTACAGAGTGGCATCATTATTTGATTAGTATGGTCCAGATCTTTGAAATCTGGACTGACCATCAGAATCTTCATTACTTCTATCTTCTTCAGAAACTCAATTGATGATAAGCCTGATGAGTCATGGAACTCTCTAAGTATGACTATACTCTACATCATAAAGCCAGAGCTGTGAACAAGAAAGCAGACCTACTTAGCCAATGAGCAGATCATGATCAGAGGAGTGACAATAATGAGAGAGTGGTGTTATTAAAACTCAAATGCTTCTGAGCAATAATAATGCCAACAGAAGAAGAGATTCATAAACAAATCAAGAGTATGATATGAGACAACAGTAAATGAGACCACTGGGTGGCCTCATTACTGAATCATGAGTGTGAGATAACAAAAGAAGGGAGATTGATCCACTATGATAGGCAGATCTATATTCTGTGAGACCAATAACTCTGAGGAGAAATCATTGCCACCTGCTATGATCATGCTATAGCAGGATATCTAGACATTGCAAAAACCAAGGAATTGGTTCTCCAAGAATACTGATGGCCAAAGATAGGCTAAGATATAAAGCAGATGTAAAGGGATGCAAAACATGTCAACAAGGAAAAGCTTTGACTCAACCACATGCTGCATCATTTTACTCAAATGAGGTTTCTCAGACACTATAGATTCATATCTTAGTCAATATAGTTACTAGTCTGCCTGATTATAACAGCTATGATACCATTCTCATCATAATTGATTGGTTCTCAAAGACAATCATTTCAGTTGCATGCTCAATAGAATTGACATCTGAAGGGTGGACTAAGATCCTCCATGATGAAGTCTATGCTAAGTATGGTATGCCACAGGTTGTTATTTCTGACTGGAAATCACAGTTCATCTCTAAATTTTTCAATGACTTGTATCATCTCCTGAATATCTGCTGCAATGCCTCCACTGCATATCATTCCCAAACTGATGGACAGATAGAGCATGTCAACCAGAAGATTAAGAAATATCTTCAATTATTCATCAACTATTGACAAGATAACTAGATAGAATAGTTGACTTTGACCACCTTTCAACACAATAACCATGTTCACTCTGCAACTGGAAAAACTCCATTCTTCATCAACTATGGTCATCATCCAAACATCTCCTATACTAAATGACTCTACACCATAATGCCCACATCATCCAATTTCACTGACACAATAGCTAAAATTCATAATAAAACACATGTCACCCTTAAAAAGACAGCTATATCTATAAAGAAACAATACAACAAACACCATGCTCCCACTCATAATTATAAAGTCCACAACAAGGCTTGGTTGGACATGACCAATCTTCACCTATCTCAACCAAAATGCAAACTGGCTGATAAACAGACCAGCCTATTTCCTATTATTGCCAAAATTAGTGTCTCCACATGAAAAATTCACAATGTATTCAATGAAACCTTACTCACTCTATATATCACCTCCACATTCCTGAACCAAGACCATCCACCACTGCCAGAACTAAAGCTGATTGATAATGAAGAACATTATAAAATCAATCAGATCCTTAATCATAGATTCTGCAAAGTTTACATGCATAGAGGAGAGACTCAAACAATGGTCAATTATTTGGTTAGTTAAAAGGGCTATAGCCCTAAATCTAATCAATGGATCAATGAATGTCATATAAATGCAGATAATGCAATTTGCAACTATAAACTCTTTTTAAATTAGCCATCAGGATGATGGTTTTAAGAGGGGAGTAATATTATGATTTTTTCACTTTCATTCTTACTTGACTCCTATTTCTGCTTAGTCAGGGCACCTATCCCAGTGCTTAGGATCATAGAACAGGCTTAATCATCATAATAACTGATTCATTATTGTCCTCCAACATAGTGATGCCTCTCAACAATAGACAACAACTCTTTTGTAGATAGTTATAATACTTAAGAACAAAGGGCACAATGACTTGGACAGACACAATTAGTAGTAGTATATTTATCTCTATTAATGAATAGTATATAAGCAGGAGAGCTCTTGCTATATATCTTCAGCTTTGAGCTAAAGTTTATTCTTATCACTTTATCTTGAGCTGACTGTCTACAGGCCTTGAAGCTCTTAATCAACAAGCACATATAGTGAACTCTGACATGACTGTACAAACTTGATACAGCATCAGTTTATCATGTGTTTAGATCACATGTGACTTGGGCTTAACACTCTTGGTTTCTTGGTGACTTAAGAATCTCTAGATCTATCAGATTTTTTATTCAACTTTTTCAGATGAATTTGCATTCTCTTTTTTCAAATAAGTCTTCTGTATGTTTTGGCATACCCTGAACTGCTGTTAAGTACTATGTAAGTTCACCTATTACTGTTTGAATAATAATTCTGCAGTTTAGAACTGAGAGATGAAACATTTCCTAGTGTGCAAAACTTTAGTTTATTTTCTCAATCACCAGAGGCCAAGCTGTATCTTCTAGTATCTTATTCCTGAACCAGGCTTCTAGGATACATATCACCTCTCTATCTTTGACAATGTTAATCTCATCAGAGCCTGCTTTGAAGTAATCTTTTGACTTACATTCTTTGCTTACTTTCTAGTAGAAGTCTTTAGATCCAATCAGGATTATCTGAGTTTTCACTATGTTGAAACATGCACTGCTTGCTAGACACCAGTTGTTAAGGAGTTTTATCAAGCTCTTGATATTATCATCTTTATGGAGGAAGGTTGTGGTGTCATCTGCAAAGAGTTTGGCAATCAGATGCTCTTCAGATCCTGAGATATCTAGCCCTTTTAGATTGGATCTACATAGCATTTCTGCCAGGAGTTAAATAGCAAGATCAAAAAGCAGATAAGACAGTGGGTCATCTTGGTGAACTCTTCATGTGACCTTAAAAGATGAGCTGAGAAATCCATTGACCATCACTCTTGTTTGAGTATTTTTATATAGCAATTTTATTGTCATGATGAATTGAGATAGAATTTGAAAGACTCCTAATACTCACCACAGGTAATCATGACGGATTTTATCATAAGCTTTTTTCTGATCAAGCATAACTATTAGACTATTTTTCTGAGTGATGTCTGCATAATCAGTTATCATCTGAATTAGTTTAGGTGCTGAGCATATTAGCTTAATTGACAAAGCTATTATTAGAAGTTTGTATTTAGAGTTTGGAAGAATGATTGTGCAGTAGTTGGATATTTTGCCCTAATTATTTTTTTATAGATTGGGCACATTCAGCCCTCTGTGAATTTGATTGATGTCTCCACTCTATACTCCTCAATGTTGTTGAAGACATCAGTCAGGATATCTACAATGTCAAAGCTGGAGAACTCTTTTCATTCATTCTCAACATAACAATCATTAAATACTTTGAAAAACATGTCAGTGACTTCATTTATTCCAGATGCTAGTTACTTTTTGATAGTTTGAGTGGTCTTAGGGCTTCATCTCAGGATACTTTCACCTTAAAGTGGTCTTTTTTCTTCTCAGTTGGTCTCACTTTGATGGTATCAAAGGCATCTTTCATTATTCTCTCATATGCATCTTTATCAATGTTTAGACAATTATTTTGGAGGAATTTATCATAGTAGTCTTGCATCATCTCTGTCATTCATGAGGAGTATTTTTCATAATGAGATTGAAGGTTCATTGACTCTTCAAATTCTCTCCTCTACAAATTTGTCTTATTTTCTTAGAGAATAGTTGATTGGTTGAGAGATATTGTGGTAGCTGAGATCTCAAGGGCTTGTATTACATCTCTTGGTTTGGCTTCTTTATTTGTTTGAAAGTAGTATTTAGAGACAATTTCTTCTTTGAGATAATCCTTCACTGCTATAAAGTGTCTGGCAATATTGTGTTCCTCCTGTTTGATATTTTTCAGTTCTCTTTTAAGGATGGTCAGTTCTTTGAAGCACTGAAATCCACTCAGGATATTATCATATGCTAATTGGCTAATAGCCCTATTGAGATCAGTTTCTTGCTGATAGACTTTAGTTTCAATATACTCATTCTCTTACTCTTACTTAGTCTATAGCATCAGAAATGAATGTCTCATATATTCTTTGGAGATTAGCTGTAGATATTTGGCCAAACATCTTAATAGCCTTAATTTCTTCTTGGGCTTTCATGTCTAGCTCTTTGATTTTTGATTTTGATTAACTATCTTTAAGAACACTGTCTGAGTATGCTCATCTTTCTTTCTCTATCAAGAGAGTGGCCTCATGTGCAATCTGAGCAGATACCATATTATAATCAACACCCACTATTTCCACTGGCTGGATTTTTTATTGTCTTGCAGAATCAAATAGTTTGTTTGTCATATATATTCTGTTGATTCATAATTGATAGATCTTGATGGTCTTAACCCTGAGACTTGAATACTTTTTTTACAGCTGTATGTCTACTCTTTCTTGTCCAGAAAGGTACTGCACCAACTATTACAGAGATTCAGGAGCTCTTTGTGATTATTAAATGCAGTTTTAACCTCTATATGATCTGTTCTCATTGGTGAGCAGTCAATTGCATCTTCTATAAAGTTTATATCATCTCACATATAGTCAGGTTTCCATTCTGGATATTCTATAAAGAAGTCATATAAAGTTCTGAAGAATTCAGCACTCTCTCTCACATCTCTGGCAGTGACATTTGGTGCATAGAGTCCTAGAATTTTAATGTTCTTATCATCATGCTATCTTGTTTTTAGCATTATTGCTCATTCTAGAACTATGACTTTTGTCTGAATATGGTACCAAAGGGTGGGCTGCTTGTTGAGTACTATTGTGACATCCACTTTTCCAGTTGAATTTTCTGGATCTCCAGTAAAGTTTATTTTTATTCTATAGACAAAAAGGTTCTCTAGCTCATCATATCTTTTCTCTGTCAGATGGACCTTTGATACTATTAGAATCTCAGTCTTTGGAATTTGGAGGAGTTGATTTATAGGATTTTACTTACTATTCTGAATGTTATTTCTTGATTCCACACAGCTAAAACTGTTTATATTTAGGCAAGATATCAAAATAGCTGACCTCCTTCCTTTTCAGTCTCTCTTATGCCTCTCACATCTATTCATCATCTGTGTATGCTGTTGATCACCTTGTTCTGAGTGGGGCTCAATTATGATAATACACTTGAGATTCTATTGTGATCAGTCAGAGAGAAGCATGACTCTCTTACACTCTAATGCATGGCATGGCCACTCTCTCTAAGTGAAATCTCATTCAAGGGGGAACTTAAGTTATATAAGGTTGTTGAGAAGCTTAATATGTATTTTTGATTATTATTTCTCTAACATCTTCCACTGCAGACTTGCATGGATGGTCTCTGTTCTGTATATAGTACAGACTGGGATGCAGCTGGTATATTTCTACCATTGTTTGGAAGATCATGTGATATTAAATCAATGCACCATTCTCCAGGAATTCTGATGCTGGTTCTTCACTGTCACTACTACACCACTGTCTTGCATGAAGAGATAACCAGTGAGTATGTCAGAGCCTTGACTGAGTGATGCAAGTCTGATACTATAAAGATTCATATTGTAGTTTGTAGTTTCTCTGTGTTTCAAACTATTAGTAATACAGTTAATTCACATACTGGATCTGCCAAACTACTGGCATGCTGAAGGAATCCACTTGGACATTTCTCTCTCAGTGAGAGAGGAGATGTTATAAGCAGTTTAGGTTCCATTGGATTCTGTTGGAGATAGTTGTATCAGCTCTTCCTGCTCAGCAGTCTGACTTATCTCCACTAAATTGTCAGTAATCAGAATAGAAAGATGCTTTGATAAATGTTAGATGGCTCTAACAGACTTCTTATCTTTTAGTCTCACTTCTGATTTCACTCTTTTAAGCTTAAGGCTCACTAAGATCAACAAGCAGAAGTAAAGAATCTCTATTCAAGATAAAATGTTATGTTGAGTAGCAGTTAAATAGTAAGTGGACTATTGCTTCTTATCATGCATGACTATTTTCCAATCATCATTGTAGTTTCTTTCACACTCAGATTGACTGTCTGACTTCTCACTACTCTTCTTTCATTTCTGTCCTGAGTCTTTGAAAGGCTCTGATTTTATCATGCAAAGATAGAGTTCCTCAGCTATAGTGCCATATTGTTAAGCCCAAATAACATATGATCTAAACACATGATAAACTGACACTGTCTCACACTTTGAACAATGATGTCAGAGTTCACTTGATGTGTTATGTGGCTCTGTGTCTCAAGACCTTTAGATTGGCTCAAGATAAGATGGTAGAAGAATAAACTTTAGCTTGAAGCTGAAGATACTGCAGTGAGAGCTATGCTACTTATATACCAGTTGCTATCCATTCTATAGATATAACTACCTAATTGTGCATCTTGACATTATAGAGTGTTTTGTCCAGTATCATTAAGCTACCTACAAAAGAGTATTGTCTGTTGTTGAGTGGTTACCATCATGTCAAAGGATAATAACTGACTAGGCATTGTTGTGATGACTAAGCCTATCCCATGGTCCTAAGCACTGGTCTAAGCACTCTGACTAAGCAAAAATAGCAGTTAATCCCTCAAATGAAAGATAAAAATAAGAAAAATCATAATATTATCCCCTTCTTAAGATCATTGTCCTGATGGCCAATATAGAGATAAGTCCATGGGTCCTGAGAGCAGATAACCTGCCCTTCTTCTCATAAGATTTATGAAGATATTGACTAATAAAATATCAGTTCAATGCCTGTTTGTAATCATGGATTGTGTCCTCAGCATTCATATACTTTTCATTGACCCATTAGTTTGACTCTGGTCTGTACCCCTTCCAGCTGACCAAATAGTCAATTATAATAGTCATTCCTCTACCATGAGCTTTGATTTTGTGGAGTTTATGATCAAGGACCTGATCAATTTTATAATATTCCTTGTCATTGATCAAATCTGAGGGAGATAGAGAAGGGCATTCCTGGTTAGGAAAGGCCAGCACAATGTATGGTGTCAACAATGTCTCATTGAAGATATCATAAACCTTTCATATCTTGGAAAAGTGCAATTTGTATGCAGAGCTGCCAATTTTTGTGAGAATTGGAAAGGATCCTATTCATTTGTCAGCCAGCTTTTGCTTCAGGTGCAGGAAATGAAGGTTTGTTGTATCCAGCCATACTTTGTCATTGACTGAATATTCATGTGCCATCTATTGGTATTTGTTGTATTGCTTCTTCATAGATGTGGTGTTTTCAAGGGCCACCTTGGTTTTTATGTGAATTTTTGCCATCATCATGGTGAAGTCAGAGAAGGCAGGTGTACTAGTGTAGTGGTGTTTGATTTAGGCAATGTGAGGGTGTCACCCATAAGTGATGAAGAACAGTGGCTGAGTGGATTCTATTGTTGTGTTGGAAGACAGCAAGAGCTAGCCATTTCATCCAGTCATCTTGTTGATAATTAATAAAGAGGCAGAGATATTTCTTCACCTCCTGGTTTGCTTGTTTTATTTGACCATCTGTCTGTGGATGATATGCAGTTGATGCATTTCATTTGATGTTGAAGAGGCAATATAGGTTATCAAGGAACTTAAAGATGAATTGTAGTCTCCTGTCTGAAATAATCACTTGAGGCATGCTATATTTGGTATATACCTCATTATATAAGATCTTTGCCTATTCTTCTAAAGTTAATTCAGTAGAACATGTGACTGAAATGATCATCTTGGAGAAGCAATCCACTATAACAAGGATTATATTATAGCTATTGCAATCTGGTAATCCAGTGATCATGTTCACCAAAATGTGGATCTATAGTGATGATGGGACCTCATTTGAATGGAGCAGTGTGGTCTGTGGCTGTGTTAAGAATTTGTCTCATTGACAAATCTCATATGCTTTGATATATTGGGTGATGTCAATGCTTATTTTGGGCCACCAATATTCCTGTAAGATGAGCTCCTTGGTCTTGGCAATGCCTGGATGTCTGGCAGTTGCATGATCATGACAGGTGATGATGATCTCACTACAAAGCTCTTTGTCCCTGGGAATGTAAATCTGTCCATTGTAGCAGATCAATCTGCCTTCTTTCATCATTCTATGTTCATGATTGAGTGATGAGGCCATTCATTGGTCCCATTTGTGATTGTCTCAAGTCATGCTCTTAATGCACTCATGAATTTCCTCCTCCATCAGCATTATCATTGCCCAGAAATATTCAGGCTTTAACAATGTGACTCTTTTGTTATCCTCTCCTCCTTGATCATGGTTGGCATGTTGACTGAGGAGGTCAGCTTTCTTATTTGCTGCATCAGCCTTATGGTGCAGCATATATTGGTATTGGCTGAGCTCAGTCACCCATCTGGCTTATTGGTGATTTAGCTTCTGTGGCTGTCAGAAATATCATAAATTTTGATAATCTGTCTAGATCTCAAAAACCTCAGTGGTGCCAATCAGATAATGCTGCAATTCTTCTAAGGCAAGCATTATTGCCAACAGCTTCTTGTCATATATTTCATAATTGCATTCTGTGATGGTTAATGCCTTGGATAGAAATGCAACTGGATGCCATCATCCATTCTGTTTTTGAGAGAGGATGGCCCCAATAGTGCTTTCACTTGAATCAGCCTCAATATGGAATTTTCTGTCTTGCATTAGAATGGCAAGAATTATGTCTTTGGCTAATCAGCATTTGAGATCATTAAATGCTGATTGTTGGGTTGGGCTCCAGGATCATGGTGCATTGCTGGTTAGTTGGGTCATAGGGTAGACTATCTTGCTGTAGTCCCAAATGAAGCAGTGATAGAAATTAGTGAAGTCTAAGAAGGATTATAACTCCTTTTTCTTAGTGGGCTCCAGCTATTCTATTATCTCTGTGATTTTAACAGGGTTCATTCAGATGCTTCCTTCACTGATGATGACTCCAAGGTACTCAGTCTTGAGTACCTCAAACTCACACTTCTCCACTTTGAAGAACAGATGATGCTTCCTCATTAAAGCTAGTACTTATCAGACTAGCTTTCAGTGCTCCTCTTGGGTCTTGGACATGATGAGAATATTGTCCAAGTAAATTATAACCTTCCCAGTAGTGATAAGATCCTTGAAAATATCATTTATCATCCACTGGAAAGTGGCTGGTGAATTCATGAGACCAAAAAACATAACTATTGGCTCAAACAGTCTGCAGTTGGTGCAGAAGGCAGCCTTCTATTTGTCACCTTCTTTGATCTGCATGTTGTTATAATCTCAGCAAATATCCAGCTTGATATAGTACTGGATGCCATGGAGTTTATCTATGAGTTCAGAAATTAATGGAAGTGAGTAATGATTCTTGATCATCATTTTATTAAGCTTCTGATAATCCTGTACTAGTCAGAGTTTTTCATCCTTCTTCTTGACAAAGAAGAAGAGGGATGCCATCAGAGACTTTAATGATCAGATTTGCCCATCAGATAGGTTTTTATCCAGGAACTTGTCAAGTTTCTATTGCTTATTGTTGCCAAGAAGATACATCTTGCAATCCAGATTAGTATTGGCATTAGAGATCAGTTCTATAGTATGATTCCATAGTTTCAGAGCTGGTAGCTTGTCAAAACTCTCCTTTTTGAACAGGTCATAGTAATCTCATGCCCATTTGGGCACCATCTCCTTGAATGTCCTCTCCTCTCTTCTGGCATTAGCCTTGGCTGCTAAGTCATTAGCATAGTGCATGGCACAAATATGTATGGCCTTCTGCAGGTTCATAGTGAGGATGGTTTCTCTGTCTTCCATCTCTTCATCCTATTGATCTTTAGGATCCTCATCTGGCAACTTGAACAGAATTTTCTAGCAGTGGCATCTAGTGAATGTGATTCATTCAGTCTTCCAATTGATCAGTGGATTGTGGCAGATCAGCCAGTCATAGCCAAGAAAGATTTCCTTGGTTCCCAAATCAGTTACAGCCAAGTCAATCCTTTTAGAGTGATTGCCAATTGTGAGCCTGAGCTTGACA